TCCTTCCCCCTCCTTCCCTCCAATCCGATATGACTATTCATTCTCTCCTCCTCGAATTCCCCTCCCTCCTCCAACCTCCTCCATTTCCATCATCCTCCCTGCTCTCCCTCCCACCCTGGCGCACGCCCCTCTTCGGCTCTGTCCCCTCGCAAGCGTCGCGAGTGGGGCCGGGAAAACACTTGTGGGTGCTGACCAGCGACGCCCACAAGCCCGACAGAATGAACGCCAACTCAGAGGCGAAGCTGAGCTCGCAGTCGTAAAATCCCTGCGGGCGGATTTGGCTCGGTTTGGACACGGACAAGGAGCGCGTCATTACTCCGATCGGCGGATGGCCCCACAGCAGACAAGACAGAGATCATAATGCAACTCGAATATTGCAAGGCGCTGCCGCTGCAAGGGAGCATGGGCGAACGGCGGTTGCAATAATATGCCTGTGGTCGCAATGTGACTCTTGCGCCCGCCGGATAGGGGCTTTAGACGTAGCGCCAGACCTAATATCAAAAATTCCTGGTCCTAAACAGGGGGGCCGTCCTGTGGCCGCCCAATCCGGAATCTGGCAATTTCGCCCAAGGAGGAAAAAGGACGCGATACTGGCGGGTGAAATAGACCTGTGGTTCAGCCAAGGAGCGATCCGCGATGACACTGGAACGATGCGCAATCGAGCGATCGACACATCCTGTGACAGCGCTAACGAGAATCCGTGTTTGCCTGCATGGGCCCAAAGAGATGAGCTCTTGTGCTCTGGGTGTTTCAAGCTGTGTGGCTCACGCCAAGCGGCGCACGTCGTGCGCGCTGCAGACAGTGTGGTGCCATCGATGTGAGGTGCACGCTCGGTGTGGTGCAAACCAGGGCTGAACCGAAACGGTGCTTTTCGCTTTCGTGCTGTTTTCGTCTTCCCCCGTTTTGTCTTCAGTCCGCCTCCAACGCAGAACGAAGCCGAAACGAAAACGGCCCACGACATCGCCCAAAAACACCAATTGGGTCCAGCCCTGGTGCAAACTGTGTGGTGAACACTACCTGGTCGTGAAGATTGACACTACGCTATGACACTACGCTAACTTCACGCTAACCGTAGCGTAGTGGCATAGCGTGGTGTCAGACCCAAGTGTCCTGACACTACGATATGAAACCGCAGGCTGTGAGGCGCAGGCCAAAGGGTGCGCCCACGGCCACCCATCAGAACCCTCGACACGCCCAGCCTACGCACGGGGCGCCCCCGAGGCGCCCACGGCCGTCCGCCACGCGAAGTCTTGACCCGCCCATCCATCTCCTCCTCCTCCTCCTCCTCCTCCTCCTCCTCCTCCTCCTCCCACCCCCGCCTGACCACCAGGAGAAGCCATGGCACATCCATCCAATTCCGTGTGGACAGAGGCATATCCCCTGGCGCAAGCAAGGTTTGGGGACTTGGCACGGCACTTGGAACTGCCTGTATGGTCATGACAAATGAGAAACGAACAAGCCTGCCAGCTGTCGACCGCGCCCTTCTCGCACCATCCCAGACGGGCCGTTTCTCAACAGCGTGACACATCGTTTGCGCCGTAGTTGCGCACAGAAACCACTGCTACTCCGAGCTGGACCGAAACAGATTCAACCCTGATGCGTACACTGCCCCTAGCGCCCCTGGCCGGCCCCTGTGGGCGCGGAGTGGCACCTTGATCAAGTCAGCGATGAACTTGCTGAACTCGAGCTCGCACAGCGCCCTGCCCCCCCCCCCGTCTCTCGTCTGCCCCCGCAAGCCTTGCGCGCAACCTGCCTCCGCGGCCTCGCGCCGTCTAGACCACAGCAGGATCATGCGGAGCGGTACAAGGGGAGACTGGCTCAAGGGGGAGAGAACATCGACCCGACATCGGCGATACATCGCCGATGGATCGGTGGTAGGCCCCGATAGCCAATCCCCACGGTCCTGGGAGGGATTGATTGCGGGTTGATGCATCACCCCTGGGCCCATGCCCCCCCTTGACGTTGCCCCATGGCGAGGGCCTTACGCGCAGCCTTCCTCCCTGGACTCGCGCGGTCTCGGCAAGAGTGCCTCGCACGAGCTGAAAGGGGCTTTGTGTGGCGCCGCATGCACGTGGCTTGCAGGAGCACGAAGGTGAGAAGCTCACTGGCAGAGATAGAAGGGGGAGATGGGGGAGGAGAGGGGGAAGGGAGGGGACGAGGGAGATCAGCTATCCCGCGGGGTAATTTAGTGGCGTGGGCCCTCGGGGACGTCGAGCACCTCCGCGGGGCCAGTTTTCCATCCCGAGCCTTTTCTGAGAGCCCCGCGATCATTTACGACGCCGCGCCAGCCTGGATCTGTATGCCCCTCCTCCAGCACACGAGACCTACGAGCAATCCCAAGGTGTCCTGGTCAAAAATTCGAAACATCACCCGCACGAGTCGCACGATCGGTACGTCGGTGAACAGTGCAAGGGCGAGTGCGAGCAACAGCACGGGTGTTGTCAGCACGACTGGAACTGATACGTACGTAGGGAAGCAGCACGACTGTGAGCAGCAACTTGGGTGCTACCAGCACAACCGACACCAGCAAGAAGTCAGCGTACAGTGCGACAGGGAACAAACAGAACCGCGAGCATCACCAACACGATTTGTTCGTCGGCAAGCTGCGTGGAGGCAAGCTGAGTTGTCGATTGTCACATTCTCGCGGCCGTGAGGGGCTCGCACAGACCAGACATGTGCGAAGGTCGTTAACCAGAACAGGGGCGAGCAACTGCACCAATGCTACCAACAAGACGCGGACTGTACACATGATTAGCAACAAGAAAACCATGAGATAAGGAATTGTGCAGGCGGGCAATACGGGTGCGAGCAGCAGTGCGAGTGCCACGAGAACGCCACGTGTCCGAAATATCTCCGGATGACATTGACCCCCCAGGCTTCGATGTTGGACTTGAACAAGGGACTTTGAGCCACTGGGGGGCTGCGGACGTTGTGCCACGTGGGGAGGGAATGGGGAGGGATCACCTGCCGCTGTGCCCCTCCCAAAACCTCTACCAGCCGGGGGGGCGGCCCGTCCACCTACTGCCCCACAATAGGGGAGGTGCGAAGCCCCTGTTGACGGGACTGGGTGGGCACCTGAGAGCACCGTAGGCCTTTCAACAACCAATGGTGGGCACCAGAAGCCAATCGCCACCAACCGAAGGTACAACATGCCCATTACCAAAAAGCTATAATTATCCCAGTGCGACCCTACCTAGGAGTTGGAGCCCCTAGGAAAGCAGCATTAGTAGTGACAGTAAAGCTAAACTAGCTAAGCTAAAGCTAAGCTGAAGCTAAGCTAAAGCTAAGCTGAAGCTAAGCTGAAGCTAAGCTAAAGCTAAGCTAAAGCTAAGCTAAGGCTAAGCTAACACTAAGCTAAAGCTAAGCTAAAGCTAACGCTGAAGCTAAGCTAAAGCTAAGCTAAAGCTAAGCTAAAGCTAAGCTAAGGCTAAACTAACGCTCAGCTAAAGCTAAAGCTAAATATAAGCTAACACTAAGCTAAAGCTAAACTAAAGCTAAGATAAAGCTAAGCTAAAGCTAAGCTGAAGCTAAGCGAAAGCTAAGCTAAGGCTAAGCTAAAGCTAAGCTAAAGCTAAGCTGAAGCTAAGCTGAAGCTAAGCTAAAGCTAAGCTAAGGCTAAGCTAACACTAAGCTAAAGCTAAGCTACAGCTAAGCTTAAGCTGAAGCTAAGCTAAAGCTAAGCTAAGGCTAAGCTAAAGCTAAGTTAACGCTAAGCTAAAGCTAAGCTAAGGCTAAGCTAACCCTAAGCTAAAGCTAAGCTAAAGCTAAGCTGAAGCTAAGCTAAAGCTAAGCTAAAGCTAAGCTGAATCTAAGCTAACACTAAGCTGAAGCTAAGCTGAAGCTAAGCTAAAGCTAAGCTAAAGCTAAGCTAACACTAAACTAAAGCTAAGCTAAAGCTAAGCTAAAGCTAAAGCTAAAGCTAAGCTAGAGCTAAAGCAAAATCTCCCAAGGGACTGGGGGAACCGCGGGGCGGGGACTGGGGGAACCGCCCGGGGCGGTTTCCATTGCCCGGCCCCTTTAGCTAAGAGAGTAAGAACCCTTCTAGGCAGAGCCTAGGTAGGGAACAAACGATGGTGGCGGTCTTGTCTTCCCGTCTTCAAAATTGATGTTTGTTCTGTCTCTGGGGCCGTTGCTTCTCCGTTTGGGGTTGCCGTCTTGACGTTTTCGGCTCGCTTTGCGCTCCGTTTCCTACTTGTCTTTACCTGCAATGTTCTCCGTTTCTGCAAATTGTTGCCTTTGCTTTGTCTGTGCTGTGTTGCCGTTGTTCGCTCGGTGTTGGCCTTATCGGTGCCGTTTTGTGTTGTTTTCTGTTACGTTTTGGGTTGCCGTCGCACACTTGCTTTGGTCAACAGCAACACGAAACATGGAAAACGAGCAAACAAAACGTCCCCTGAGTTTTGTTCAACGTTTTCTTAGGGAGAACTAAGAGCATGCCCCCGCCAACCTGTATGATATGATTGCGACAATCGTTTAATTACATCACCTTGAGTTTCAATCTACCCAGCCGTGGCGACGAAAGGCGCCCCCCAAAGCCCAAGGAGGCTCCAGAAAAGGACGAAACACGCTGACCCTCAAAGCTCGATCATCTTGCCGCAGGCGCGCTCCCAGAGCGAATGGAAGCCGGGGTGTCTGGGCGATCCTGGAACGTTTCTCGCCCTCTTCCCTCGCCCCGTCCGCCTCACTCTCGCCCTCCCCTTCCTCCCCGTCGCATGCTCCTCATCGTCATGCTCATGTTCCTCTCCTCTCCCTCATCTCCGAAGGGCACACTGGGGGGGGGGGACTGGCATACGGGAGGACAGGTCGCCCTGGGATCGGCGATACGTCGCCGATAAGATCGGCGACAGGCCTCCGAAAGTGAATCCGCACGTTCCTGCGCAAGTTGGGGCTATCGGGCCCGGATCGGCCTTTTCCGCCTTCTTCTCGCCTCGCCCTCCCCTCCTCTTGCGCCGCGCAGCGACGGTGGCGTCCGGCGCGGCCGCCTTCTCCCTCGCCCTCCTCGCCTGCAACCGCGCGGGGAGACGGCGCACCCCTCGCCGAGGCCCGCCCGGCGGAGACCCGGCCAAGCGCGCCCGCACTCGCATCAGAGCTGACGGGAAAAAGCAGCGAAGAGGGGACACACCTAGTGAAACACGGCGTGCAAGGAGAGGAGAGGAGGGATGGTGCTGAGCCATCTTGGAGGCTATCTTGGAGCATTGCAGGGCTTGGAGCTACGAGGTCGTATGGAGCTCTTTTGGGGCAGGTTGGGGCCCTCCTGGGGTTGTTGAAAGTGTCTTGGGGTCCTCTTGGGGCTCGTTTGGGGCGCCTCGGGGCCATCACTGGGGCCCTCTTGGGTTTTTATTGGGGCTCTCTTGGGGCCCACTTGGGAGCTATGGAGCGCCTCCCGGGCCGTCTTGGAGACCATCGATCAAAAGAGGAGGGAAGGTCCTCGATTTGCGCCCCCCCCTCCGGGGCTATCGAAGTAGCCTCTTGGGGCGCTCTCGGGGTCCTCTTGGGGCGATCTTGGGGGGTTTTGGGACCTTCTTGAACTTCTCGTGGGCCGGCGTACGGCCATCTTGAAGCTCCAAAACTCGCATCGGGAGCGGAAAGGCGAGAAGGCACAAACCAATGATTCCCCATAGGTTTTCGACAAATGTAGGCTTCTCGGGGAAGTCCCGAAGCATCGCCAAAAACACCCGGAACTGTTTTGTGGCCGTTGTTGGGGCCTCTTGGAAGCACGTTGCTAGCTATTTTGTGCCATATTGGGTTATCTTGAGCGAGCTTGGCGGCTTTCCCGGGCTCTCTGAGTCCTTCTCGGAGCCATCTTGGGTGAACAAAAACCTTCTGACACCTCGCGAAACCCTTCCTCCAGGTTCAGGGGAGGGGGTAGGGGAAGGGTTAAGCCCCTCCCCGAAAAAAGGAGATGCGCGGATTTCTGAAAGAGGGAGACTGATCTCGTTAGACCTCCTGTCGCCCAGGAAGGTTGGCGGGACTTGCGAACAGGATTACATGACGAGCGCAGAGGACATTCCGTGACAGAAGACACCCTTGCTTCCTCCCACGGAGCACCCAGAATCCATGGCTCCCAGAGGAACGATGGCCTGTGCGGATACCACTGGAGGTCTAAACTTTTCGGCCCAGCGCGAAGATGGGCTTGCGGAGACTCCTGGGGTATCCATTAACCTTGAAGACATTGAGAATCCACTTGTGGTTGACCTTCGGGAAGGCGATCTTGAACTCGGGCAGGCATCACCCAGCATGTTTACAGGCCAGCGCGCGGGGCCACCCGAAGAGCGAGGCGTCGAACTCGATCCGATTCTCGGCCATAGACCTCCCAGGCACGAGCCCCCTTCTGCCAGCAGTCGACCATATCCTGAGCAACGAAGTTCAGGAGCAGACGACCAAGATGGATGATATCTTGTTGTCGGGGTTGGAGCGTGGAAAAAGTTTAGTCTCCCCGACTTCGCGCGTCTCGGCACCCCCGTTGGTGGCCGCAGCCTTGGGCAAACAACAAACTGCACGACGCTAGTTGCAATCATGTGTCAGGAGAGATTCGCCGCTGGTCAGCTGCAGATGCGCCTGGTGGTGGGTGTCGACGCCTATCTCGCTCGTGACCTTCCGCGTGCTATAGGCATGCCGCAGGGCCCAGGGCCCAGGGGAAGTGCTGAACGTCTTGCCCAAAAAGGCGTTCGAAGGCAGGGCGATCGGCAACCGATCAAGATGCCGGCGATAAACAAAAACAGGTTCTCCTCGGAAAGGTCGGGCGAGCCCTGGCGCGCAAACGCTCCCCCCAATTGCGCGAGAGGAGGGGGGGGGGGCGAGAGGGGGAGGAGGGGGGGGGGGGAGGGGGGGGAGGAGGAGGAGGAGGAGGATATTGAGATTGGGGTCCCCGTTGCGAAGCAAGTCTGGGTATCGCTGAAAGCTGAGCCCCTGGTCGCTGCCTCGGCGGGCCAGCCGTGCCTTGGGTCCTGGGGGGGGGGGGGGGGGGGGGGCCTCAGCTAAGCGACGGAGGTGCGCGCGGCCTGTGCGAGTGGGGTGGATCGAACAGGGTTTGCCCAAGGAGCGCACCTGTGGATCGGCAGTGGCCCCGCGCGAACCGCAGAACCGCACTCTCACTTGAGAATGGTAGTTGAGGACATGGGATGGATGCAGCCAGCCCCCCGCTGCATGAATACGCATCCCTTGGGCTTGGGCGTAGAGGGCCCCGCCCACGTTGACGAGCTCTTGGCAGGGGGTGGATTTCCACTCCTCAATTGTGGCAAACGACACAGAGCTAAAACATCGCAACCGCGTACGTTGACACTCCGAGAGCCGATGGGCCGAGCGGAGGGAGGAGAGCGCAGCGGCAGAGGGGCGGGGAGGGTTTGGGGGGGAGGGGGTACCCCTTCATTCCTTGTCTCCCTGGCACCCTGGGCAAGCTCCTGCTCAGCGCCGAAACAGTCAAGCGTAGCGCGGAGGAGCCGCATGCGCACGTGCATGGCACGACTTTCCTGCAGATGAATCTCCTGGCGGATGGGGGCAGGGGCGCGGGCGAGCTGGGCTGCGGCGTCGGCCGCGCTGTCTGCAACAGCGTTGGCCAGGGCGTGCGCGCTGACAGCGCGCTGAGCCACGATGCCCTCATCGGACCGATGGCCATGCGTGAGAAGAACTGAAATGCAAAAAGGGGGTCGGGCACGCAATTGATCACGGATGCGAGCCCACAGGTCGGCGTCAGGGCCGCGTGGGCGGTCGTGCGTTCTCTGTGCAACCCCGCAGAAAGGGGTTCGAAGTCTGGATTATACAGTAGATATCCAGTAGTGATCTCTAAGGCCCAAAGAAGCGCTCGAATCTCACCTCGGGCGACATCTTGTCGAGCGCCACTTAGGGGGCCCATGGTGAAGGCTTGGATGGACAGGGGCGATCGGGAATTAAAGCAAGCAGATGCGAGGCCTACGCGTCGGAGCCTGGGCCATTTGGACCCAGGCCCGCCTGGCGCGTCGCCCGGCGCCAGCAGGGGCCCACTTTGGGCCCCATGTCCAAGACGCCCACCTACAACCTCAGGTGACCCTTCGGGCCACCACGCGTCGTGATCCACAGGCGCAGGCGCCCAGGCCCAGGGCGCTGGGGGGAGCCCGCGGAGCCAGAAACCCTCGTCGCAGCTCGCCTTGGCGAGGGCGGCAGGAGAATATTGGGCGCTCGCCTCATAAGCTGGTGATCCCACGTCCCTTTCGCACTCCCAATAGCGATGCATCAATGTTACAGAACAGCGCTGGCACCTGTCACAAATCTCGGCGCCCTGAAAAATTCGCATCAACTGTTTTTTTGTTTGTTTTCGCTTTGGGCCAGCGACCTCCTGCAGCAATCGTGACCATGGTCCCTGACAGCTTGCGCCCATGCTGTGAGGCCTCGAGTTGGGGCACCAGCTTCTGGAACGACCCCGTGTCGACCCCGCGCCCCAGCCCGCCACCAGCATTGCGCTGGCCGCAGTCACCCATCGCTTCTGGGATACTGATCGTGGCTGGTCTTGGAGCAGATGGTCATGCCGATCTTTGTGCACGTCGCCTGTGTAGGACTCGTCGGGAAACTGCCATTGTTATGTCGTGCCCTTGTCCGCGTCAGTAGTGTCGCCCCACTGGCGCGGCTGTTGCGTGGCCCAACCCGCTCTCATCAATGTCAGGATCACTGCCGCCCCCTCGCGTTGCGAGACTGATCTGCAGGGCCGAGGTTAAGCATATGCGTGTAAATATGATTCTAAACTGTACGAACACCCATTCTGAGATGGGGATGATCTCGCTGCGACTTCAGCCACTGGTCCACGAGTTGGACTGGCAGCTTCAGCGCTGGGCCCTGGCCTGGAGCCTCGAGCTCAAGCACCGTCGCGAGACGCCGCCCCGTGCCAGCCCCTCCGCTTGCCCGCGGCAATCGATGTCGCACCAGCTGCATTTGCTGCCCCCCCCCCAACAAAAAAAAACGTGCACTTGGTGGCCGTGCAGGCCCGCGGGAAGGCCTCCCTGCGCCTGCAATTTGGCCGTCGCCTTGATGCGCCCTGCCGCCTTGGCGAATCTGCGGGGTTGTTCGACATGATCTGGTGCTTATATTCTCTCATGCGCCGTGTGCTGCGATCGCGTCGTCCACATCCGAAATCAACGCCCAAGTGCGCCGCCTGCTTGGTCTCCTTGATCTGGTAACCCCGCCTGTGGACTCCTCGGGTGATGGCCTTGGTATCCTTCATCGTCGAACTCATGATGGTGGGCTTCTGAGCATATTTGAGGCCTCTCGTCTCAAGCAATTGGCACGCGTGGGGGATACAATGAATCATATGTTTCTTCACGGCACAACTGGATCCTGACATCTTCTGGGGCAAATCGTCTGCCCAAATCCGATGGCTCACTTTGGGATGGGCCAATGTTATCTTTTGTGTGACATGGTCTGTGAGGGTCAATAATATCTTTTGCATGACAAGCGTGTCCTGCTTCGCAGGCCCTGCGCCACTGGCTGCGGTGGTTCAGAGATGTCTGAGGCCGCGCCCATATGTTCTAGTGCTCGTAGGGAAACGCGTTGAAACAATTCGAAATAAAGGACAGAAAGAGCTGCCTCCACGAGCGGCAGCCAAGGTATGGTACCGAAAATTGAAGCAATGTCCAACAATGCATATGAGTATGTCATCTTGAAATTATGTGCAACTTCTTCGTCGATGGCGCGTGGGAACGCCTCCGGTAGACACGATTTTCCTCCGATGGCCGCGTCCCAATCCGCGGTGTGGTACTGCGTCCTTTCTTGAACATGTGTCTCTCTGACCATCGAACAGCCTCTTCCAGGCATCAAAATCACCCCTATGACCCGATCGGCTCCTGTCTTCTTGGGCGTGAGTTTACCCAGGATGACTTCTCCGGAAGTGCGTTCGGAGGTAGTCGCTGAAAGTCAACTGGCGTGAAACTAACACCCCCTCGGCCTGGGGGGGCCTTCATTCTGCCGCAGGCATCTGTTATCGTAGCTGGAGTGATGCTGGGCAGTGGGTTGCCGTCGGCAGTTGAACGCATGCGAT